AGGAAACTGGTTTCCTCTGCTGCATTAGTAAGCAGCGTACCATTATCAATTATGTATTATATATATGGCTCTGAAACAACGAGCTTTTTAATTAAGCTCTTTTTAAAAAAAATATTTTACCTTTTTCTTTTTTATCTTGACTAGTAAGAGCCTACTCGCCACACTTCACGTATAAACGGTAACATAATAATAAAATATACGAAACTTAATATCAGGATATTCAACAATGGTGAACCATCTGCTTTTTATTTTGCTTTCACGATGAATCGCAACACCGCCCCTAAGAAGCAAATGGTTCACCATTGTTGAATATCCTGATATAAAGTTTCGTGTATTTTATTATTATGTTACCGTGTATACGTGAAGTGTGGCGAGTAGGCTCTTACTAGTCAAGATAAAAAAGAAAAAGGTAAAATATTTTTCTAAAAAAGAGCTTAATTAAAAAGCTCATTGTTTCAGAGCCATATATATAATTTATAATCGATAATGGTACGCTCCTTACTAATGCAGCGGAGGAAACCAGTTTCCTTACTAGTAAGCTTCAGGAAAACACAAGAACAACAACATATATCTTCATCAAACCATACCCAACTGCCAACTAACTTCACTTCTAACTTATTCAACGCACACCTTGATAATTGACGTCTGAACTGATAACAGGAGGTTGCTCCTCCAAATTCCAATCATTGATCTTGCGGCCAACACCTCAGCTCAACTCTCCACCTCTTCAACCAACTCTCTAACAAGAAAAGGCAGAAACAAAGGCAACGCATTAAGCAGAAATAAAGGCAAGAAGAAAAAGCGAAAGAACGGAAATCAACTTAGAAAGAAAGTAAACTTGCAACATGAAATTACCCAGTTTCATGATTCTTGGATGCGGGGGATATCGGCGGGAAGTCGCACCTTTTTTTTGTGTCCTTGATGATGGATGGAGAATAGACATAAGCGGAACCCTTTGTCTCAAAGTCTGTCGCAAACCACTCTGTCACTAGCAATGGGTTAGAGGTTTTTATTATGATTCCTCCCGGCACAGTTTTTCCGCTTCCTTCCCATCAAGAATAACAGAGTAGGAGAAGGAAAAGCAGCTTGATGAAAGTCGATGATCGGGCCATTTTACGTTACTGGGTGGAGGGAGTTCGTAAGTTAGAGATAATTGGGTGGGTGAAGTGAACAAAGCACTGGAGGGAGCTCTTTATATAGGGTGATGGTGGAAAGAAGTGACCAGAGGGGTTTTCCAACGAGTTTGGCGGGGAAGATGGTTCGTACGTAGAAAATTATATGTAACGGAAAGTAGATGAAAATTGGGTTTGGTTGATGTGGACAGTAGGTAAGGAACAGAAAGTAGGTAAGGGAGTTTGGTTGATGGGAGAAAGAAATATGTCACGTTTCTGTTGAGGGTTTGGTTGATGGGGAAGATGGTTCATACGTAGAAAATTATATGTAAAGGAAAGTAGATGAAAATGGGGATGAGATTAGGTTAGCTATGCTCACATTCAGTTAATTAAAGGTTAAATTGGTAAAAGACTATAACCATTAGCTAACCCTAATGTGTATTCTATTTCTATCCCATCCCACAACAGCCGCCACCCCTTCCTCTATATTGAAACCGTCGTTCTGCATCTCTCTCTCTCTCTCAATGAAAGAAGGAAGATCCGGATGCCGCCGTTCCACAATGGAGGATGACGATTTCAGGCCAGCGCAGTGGAATCTGGGACCATGATGAAAGGGGTCTTGCGACGGAGGGAGAAGCGGTCAGGCTTCTGACATCGGAGAAGGAAGATCTGTTCGGTTTTCGCAGTTCCACAATGGAGAAGGCATATCCGGCCATGGCGGTGGAAGCTAGATCCACGACGGAGGAAAGCGAGGCTGGGCTTCTGACGTCGGAGAAGGAATATATATATTCGCTTGTTGTCGTCCCACCACTAGTGTCGTCGATCGCTCACGGATAGCATGCCGGGAAAAATGAGAACTTTTTGTTAGATCTATATTATTATTTGATTAGTAGTGATTTTGGGTTTGTAGTGATTGTGGAGTAGTGATTTTCATATGTATTAGCAGTTGAGCAGTCATATTTGTATGGTATTAGTGTTTTTTCTTTGATGTGTAGTTATTCCAGTAGTGGTTTACTCCTACCTAATCGTATTAGTAGTGATTATGTTATCATTACTTTCTAAAGTTCACCCATCATGAGTAACTTAAAATTTCTAAATCACTACTAATTACAATTAAATCACTACAAGAACAAATAAAATTGCTAATACAACCACCAAAATCACTACCAATGAATGTAGCAGTAGTTTACGGTACTATTTTTCAGGCCTACTACTAAAAAGAAAATAAAATATTTTAAAATTTAATTTATTAATTAAATGAATTTTTTTATATACCGAATATGCCCCTCCTTATTCTCCAGCATCATATTTTAATTAAAAATAATAAATAGTGATTATAGTGGTTAGTACGGTGCTAACTCCAATGAAGTTAGCACTCTAACCAGTCCCATGAAAATGGGGTTTGGTTGATGTGGAAAGTAGGTAAGGAACAGAAAGTAGGTAAGGGAGTTTGGTTGATGGGAGAAAGAAATATGTCACGTTTATTTGGTTTAGCTCGAAGGAAATGGAACCTCAAACTATAATGTTTACCTTCAGTTTGGGGATAACCAACGGAAAGTAGTGTTATCAACAATTTCATTAGATTAACTATCAAGGTTTGAAAATCTTTGTTTGTATTGCTAAATTGGGGTGACAATATGAACCGGTTTGACCAGTTTCGTTGCATTATTATTTATTTATTTATTTTGGTAGAAGGTTGCATTATTAATGAGCCGTGTATAGACAAAGCGAAACCCACTTTACATGAAAAGGATCAGAAAAGGTGCAACTTCTATGTCTGTTTATTTTGTTGGGAGTGTTTCACCAAATGAAAACTGAAGGCTTTCTTGATATTTCCATGCCCGTGATCTCTACTATTCATCACTAAAGGGCCAAGAACCGAAGCAGGTACTAATATGATCCCAATTGGCCAGCTCTACACGTTTAACTTACTTGACGAAGAAGCTATCGAAGTTGATAAGAAGAAGGGCAGAATCTGTCAAAGTCAAAATCCGTGTTTAGGGTACATAATTTGTAGGCATGGTTCTCTCAACTGGATTGGTGGAAATTCAAGTTTAAGGGTTTGTATTGCAGATAAAGTTTCCATATTTCAAATGGTATGCTTTGTGAATCCAGATGATGTCATTAAGGTTGTTTTCCAAGGCCTCGAAGTTGCTACCTCAAAACTGGAAAACTGCCAGAAAATGAGGCAGAAAACTGTTTTGTGAAGCCTACTTTGGAGGTTAATTCGAGGAGTATGGATCTGATTCAATTCCAAAGGCTTCCACAATATGAAACTAGGTATGTTAATGTACAAAGGGAAGGAATTGGATGAAGGATTGGAGTTCGGGAAGGCCTCGAACGAAAGGCGTGAAGTTAGTACAAAAGCTACTTTTTAACTGTTTTGCTGGCAGCTTACTTGTGCGCCAAGAAAGGAAGTTTGTGGCCGAGTTTTGTACTGTTTTTAGAGTTTGTTTTTACCTTAATTGTTTCCTAGTTACATTAGGCTTGTATTAGGTTTTATTGGCTATAAATAGCCTTCTATTTTCGTTGTAAGACAGAGTTGATTGAATAGAAAAGAAACCGTTTGGTTTTGCAAGTTTGCGAACTTGTTTCGGGTTTGGTGGATTCCAAACTTGCTGAGCTTTGTATCGATTGAATAGTCCCTTCAATCGTGGTCGAGCAACTACCCTTTTATACCATACGAGCTTTCCCCAGGTGTGGAATTGTCCGTTGGTTCCGTTCTATCCAAATTTCGTATTAAGAACGCGTTGTTCTTGATTCGAGTTCAATCAATCTTCGGATTGATTGTTTGCTGCGTGACTTTGATAAAAATACACCCCCAGGGTTGTATTAAGTGATATTAGAGCCCCGTTCAACACAAGGGCGAAGAAGAAGGCGAAAACGTGTTGTTTCGTACAAGCATAATTTGTCGAAAAACAGGGAGGAGGAGCCCTGTTTCGAGCAGCCGCTGTTGCTGTTTTGGTGATTAAATCTCGATGGCAAACAGAGCCAAAGAGGAGGAGTGTATTGGAGGCAATAGCGAGGCCAAAAATCTGCCAAATTGTGGCCAAAAGAAGCAGCCAGCAATCTTCATCAAGCACAGGGAGTCCGACGAGCAGCGAGACAACTTATTTCACAGCCGGTGTTTCGTTGAAGAAAAATTGGTGTCTTTGGTGATCGATGGAGGCAGCTATGCGAACCTCATAAGCTTAGACGCTGTCAAGAAGCTTGGATTGACGACACAAAAACATCCTAAGCCTTACCAACTCACTTGGATCAATGAACACAGAACGATCAATGTGACTAAACGAGCTTTGGTTCGTTTTAAACTCGGCAGATACGAAGATGAGGTGATTTGTGACATTGTACCGATGCAAACAGCACACCTAATACTAGGTCGACCTTGGCAATTCGACCGTAAGGTCACACACGAAGGTTGGACCAATCGATACAAGTTGGAGCATTGCGGCAAGAAGATAGTCCTGGCACCCCTTTCCCCGGACGACGTTTACAATGATCAGAAGCAGATGGAAGAGAAGAGAAGCGCGGGTAAGGAGTCTCGGGCTCAGTTATGGGTGCAAAGACGAGTTGGCTTCAACTTTATGAGCATGAAGAATCTCCTGAAAGAAGTTCCAGTGTCGGAATCAATTTGATGCCGCGACCTCTGTTTGTCCCCTACAAAACAGAGTGTCGAGTTCCGCACCTTGGCCTGAGAAGAAAAGAAGAACAGAAGAGTATTGCTAGGGTTTTTGGTGAAGGTTCTCAAATCTTGAGAGCTTCGTTTTCTGCATTTCTCAATATATACCCAACAGCCTTTACAGAGGAAAAGTGAAACTAACGGCTAATCTAGAGTATTAACTAACTAATAAAAAACAACCAATAAAACAAAAGCACGTGTCCACAAGACACAATTAAACTTGCAATCAACGAACTAAGAAGGACGACATCGTATTAAGCCATCGCTGTCTTCTATTGATGAAACGTCTCCGTTTTGCTCCAAAGCAGCTTTCCGGATTAGAGCAAAACGCCGCCGTTTCTCCTGGGCTAGTGATCCTCGGTTGCAAACACCTTCAGCCTGCAGCAGCTGCTTCCTGCACTTCTCTTCTGGTTCAATCCTCAGCTGCTGCTGCTCATTCATCTATTACCCCCCTTCAAGCTGGCGAGTGTCTTCCAGAGACTCCCAGCTTGCACATCAACATGTTAAAGCGATCTATACCAAGGCTTTTGGTAAAGATGTCTGCTAACTGGTAGGTAGTTGAAACATGTCTCAAATCAAGCAAACCATTCATCAGTCTCTCTCTAATGACATGACAATCAACCTCAATGTGTTTCGTTCGCTCATGAAACACTGGATTCCTGGCAATGTGTATTGCTGACTGATTGTCACAGTAAACCAAGGTTGGTTGAGAGTGAGCAATTCCAAAGTCAGAAAGCAATCTTACCAACCACTGAACTTCACAACTGAGCTGAGCCAAAGCTCGATATTCTGCCTCTGAGGAAGATCTGGAAACTGTACTCTGCTTCTTTGTTTTCTAGCTAATCAAACTTGTCCCCAGAAAAACACAAAACCCTGTCAAAGATCTTCTTGAATCAGGACATGTGGCCCAGTCAGAATCACTATACCCTGTTAACTGCACAACAGAATCCTTGGAATAGAACAAGCCTTGACCAGGTGAATTACTCAAGTACCTAAACACCCTCTGCAAAGCTTTATAGTGAACTGTGGTTGGAGAATCTTGGAATTGGCAAAGCTGTTGAACAGCAAAGCTTATGTCTGGTCTAGTACTTGTCAGATACTGCAACTGTCCCAACAAGTGTTTAAACTTGCTAACCTCTAGAAAAGGATCACCATCTGAGGCTGAAAGGACCTGCTTTATGCTGGAAGGGGTTTTTGCAGGTTTGCACTCATCAAATCCTGCCTCCTTCAAGAGTTCTGTGCAATACTTCCTTTGAGAAACATGAATCCCTGTGGCAGTTTTGTTTACCTCCAAGCCAAGGAAATACTGCAACTCTCCTAAGTCCTTCATTTTAAACAAGGACTTCAGCATATTCTTCACTGCAATTACTGCTTCCAGATTCACACTACCAACCACAATATCATCCACATAAACAATAAGGACAACCAAATGTCCCTTAATCTCAGTTAAGAAAATTGAATAATCAGACATGGATTGTCTGAATCCATTAGCAAGCAAAGATTCTGTTAATTTAGCATACCACATCCTGCTGGCTTGCTTTAAACCATAGAGAGACTTTTTCAACTTGCAAACCTTCCCCTTGTACTCAGGCTTATCCCTCATGCCTTCTGGTAATTCCATGTACACATCTTCCTCCAATTCACCATTCACGAAAGCATTGTTAACATCCATTTGATGCAAATGCCAGTTGTTAACAGATGCAACAGCTAGCAACATTTTTACAGAAGTCAGCTTGGCCACAGGTGAGAAAGTATCACAATAATCAATGCCATACACTTGTGTGTATCCTTTGGCAACCAAACGTGCCTTAAATCTCTCAATTGTTCCATCAGGATTGTACTTGATCCTGAAAACCCACCTGTTACCAACTGCCTTCACTCCCCCTGGCAAGTCAGTGATGTCCCAAGTATTATTGTCAAACAATGCTTGCAGTTCCTCAATCATGGCTGCATTCCACCTAGGGTCTTGAGCAGCCTCAGCATAACAGGAAGGCTCAAAGGCTGCTGCAAGAGTTAAAGCAAAGTGCTGTTGTTGTGGTGAAAGATGAGCCAAGTCTTGAGGGATAACCAACTTGGGACCAAAACTGACTTGGTTCAAACCCACATAGAAATCATCATACTTCTTAGGAAATGTTACTTGCCTTGTTGATTTTCTAAGGGGTACTACTGGTGTGGTTGGAGGAGTGAGAGGAGGAGTAGGAGTGTGAGACAAATCAGAAGAAGAAGAGGAGGAACCCCTAACTGAAGTGTCTGGACTAGTAGGAGTAGGAAAAACTGGTGAAGTAAACTGAGGTGATGTGGTGACAGAAGGAGAAGTATATTCTGTCAACTCAGGTTCAAGAGCTGGTGAAGAATCAGAACAAGAAGATTCTTCTGGAAGTGAAGAAGACAAAGGAACAGAAGAAGGCTGTGAGGGAAGCTCTTCTTCTGTAGAATCTGAGTCAGATGTGCCTGTTTTGAAAGGCAAAATATGCTCATGAAAAACAACATCTCTGTTAATAAAGACCTTGTTGGTAGCTAGATCCAACAACTTGTATCCCTTAATGCCATTAGGGATTCCTAGAAACACACACTGTCTAGACCTAGGATCAAATTTAGACTTGTGACCCTCTACTGCTGTAGCATAAGCTAAACAGTCAAACACCTTTAAGTTCATATAGTCAGGGGGAACTTTATGCAGGATTTCAAATGATGTTTTGTGGTCTAGAATAGGTGTTGGTGTTCTGTTAATCAGGTATGCTGCATGAAGGACAAAATCTTCCCAGAAAACCGAAGGCAAACCTGATTGAAACTTCAAAGATCTAGCTACATTGAGCAAATGCTGGTGTTTTCTCTCTACCCTCCCATTTTGTTGAGCTGTATAGACACAGCTCATTTCATGAACAATACCATGAGCTGAATAAAAATCAGTCATGTGGAACTCTTGGCCTTGATCTGTTCTAACTCTTTTAATAGAAACAAAAAACTGGTTTTGAACCATAACACAGAAAGATTGAAGAGATGGCCTGGCCTCAGCCTTTGATTTAAGGAGGAAAACCCACACTGCTCTACTGTAATCATCCACAACAGTGAGGAAATAAGAGAAACCATTTCTAGAAACTGTATTCAATGGTCCCCAAATGTCAACATGCACAAGTTCAAAAGCATGAGTACTAACTGAGGTGCTTACAGGAAATGGCAACCTCTTTTGCTTAGCCAAATGACAAACCTCACAATGTTGTGTTAAAGGCAAGGAAACATCATTACAACTTTGTTTAACTACTCTCAATCTAGACAAGGAAGGGTGTCCTAATCTGGCATGCCAGATGTTAAAGTCTTGATTCTGGAAATTAAACACTCCTGCTGCAAACTTCTGTGAATCCTTAGAAACTTCAAACTCCTGACTCCTGGACTCTGTAAACAGGTAAAGACCTCTACTGACTTGGGCTAAACCAATCCTCCTCCGAGTAATAAGGTCCTGGATCAAACAGAAGTTTGATTTGAAGGTTAATGAAACTGGATGGTTTTGAGTTAATTTGCTTACAGAAACAAGATTGTAAGCAAAAGAAGGAACAAACAGAACTTGAGAAATGAATAACCCACAAGGCAAAGTAACAATTCCTATGTGAGTTGCTTGGACTTGCTGTCCATTTGGTAGATTCACAAACACTTGATTCAAAGCTCTATGCTTCATAAAGAAACTCTTATCACATATGATGTGATCTGTTGCCCTTGTGTCCAGAACCCAAACTGTACTACGAGGTGATTCAACCATAGTAGAGAGAGCTTGTTTACCTGAAGAATTAGAGGCATAAGTTGCTGGAGCCTGAAAACCATCAGATTTCTTCCCAGAGTGAGAAGCAGACTGTGAACCTCTTACTGCCACAGCAGCATGATGCATTCCAGGTGAATTTGGTGGTGAGGGTGATGCAGAAGGTGATCTGGTGAGCATGGTTCTGAGCTGCTCAAACTGGTTGGGAGTAAGCAGACTCATCAAATCTGTTTCCCCCTTACCTCCACCAGAACCAGTTGTATGAGTACCACCTGATTCAGACAGTGTGGTTTCAACTGATCCAGCAAAGGAACTTTCACCATCTTTGCTTTGTTTGTTCTTCAACTTATAACATTCATCGATGGTGTGATATTCCTTCTTGCAAAACCTACAAAACTTTTCCCCATCCTTGTAATCTCTGGGATTTCTTCCACCTTGTCCACCCTTCTGTTGCTTGTTGGGCTGCCCTGCCATCAAAGCCACTGATTCAACACGTCCCTTTTCCTTTTCAGAACTCATAGCCTTCATTTGTCTCTCCAATTGAACCATTTGCTTGAAAACTGACTCAATAGGAGGTAACTGAGCATTCATCAGAACCTGTGTTCTGGCTGTTTGATAGGTATCATTAAGTCCTTGCATAAACTTAATGATAAGATCATGCTCTTGATATCTTTGAACAGTGAAAAAGGGACTATTAGGGCATGGACAACAAGAAATAGGCCTATACATCTTATACTCCTGCCACTTAGTAGTAAGTGCAGTGTAGTATTGAGTAACAGTGAGATTTCCTTGCACACACTTCCCAATCTGTTCATTTAATTCATAGACTCTCATATTGTCTGCTTGGCTAAATCTATCCTTCAAGTTATCCCACACATCTTTAGCCACTTTGTAAGGAACAACACTGTTAGCAATGTCATCAGAAAGAGAATTATAGATCCAACAGCGCACTGTGCTATCACATCTATGCCATGACTGCCAAATAGGGTCTCCAATCTGAGGTACTGGAATTAACCCATTCACAAACTGCAGTTTGTTCTTAGTACTAAGAGCTAGCTCCATTACCTGACTCCAGAGATTGTAGTTCTGGTCAGTGAGCTTCATAGAGATGATGGTAGTCAAGCCGCCATCGTGAGGAGGTAAGTAGTAGGGGTTAAGATATGGATCTTCATAGCGAGGAACCACAGGAGGAACAAATTGATCCATCTGACGTCGAGAGTTGACGCCCTGAGGTGTTCGTGGAAGAGTAGCGTCGTTGGTAGAGGCGATTTCATCTTTAGTCTCTACCTCATCAGCTACAAACCCATCAACTTGGGCTTCTGGAATCGACATCAGTGAATCGTAAAAGGGGAAAGGAGTAGTGTAGAAACCTGGATCTGGGTTACCAGAGCCAACCAGGCTCTGATACCATGAGAAGAAAAGAAGAACAACAGAGTATTGCTAGGGTTTTTGGTGAAGGTTCTCAAATCTTGAGAGCTTCGTTTTCTGCATTTCTCAATATATACCCAACAGCCTTTACAGAGGAAAAGTGAAACTAACGGCTAATCTACAGTATTAACTAACTAATCAAAAACAACCAATAAAACAAAAGCACGTGTCCACAAGACACAATTAAACTTGCAATCAACGAACTAAGAAGGACGACATCGTATTAAGCCATCACTGTCTTCTATTGATGAAACGTCTCCGTTTTGCTCCAAAGCAGCTTTCCGGATTAGAGCGAAACGCCGCCGTTTCTCCTGGGCTAGTGATCCTCGGTTGCAAACACCTTCAACCTGCAGCAGCTGCTTCCTGCACTTCTCTTCTGGTTCAATCCTCAGCTGCTGCTGCTCATTCATCTATTATGGCCGACGAGGAGGAAAAGGAATCGGAGCACGAGGCGGACATAGATGAGTCTATGGAGGTTGAAGGAATGATGTACGAGCAAGGAGAGGGTCTCGATCAGCCTGCCGATGCGCAAAACGCCCCGGCGATGCAAGCTGTCGCGCTTTCTTCAGCTCCGGCAGAACAGAGCACCGAACTGCTCTCGTACGTAGGTAGAGCCACCGGAGAAGATCCGACCCAATAGAAGCCTATAGGCACGCTTCACATGTATCGTGAAATCTCAATTGAAGGCTGGAATGGCACGAAACCAACTGTATTGCAGAAGCCATTTCAAGCAGCCGAGCTCCCGTTCTTCCGGCAGCAACAACCCAGCAGCCCTGTGTTCCAATGACGGTGAAACAGGGGAAGAGAGAGGGTGAATGGGGTGGAGAGTTGGGGGGCATCTCGAAGCAGTCCGACAATGCAGGCAACTTCCATGGCTCATCAGAAAGCTCTCACGTGGATCGATCCGCGTCGATCCAACCCCAATTGTCGAATCGAATTCGCGTCCAATTGGCTCTGGCAACATCAAAACACGACCGAAATTCGGGGTTATGGGTTGGAGGGGTCGAGTGCCATCCGAACCAAATTGACGATTTGGAATCATTCCAACGGGGTTCAGGAAGCTTTAGGAATCACCGATTCCTTCTAACAGTGCCGAGATTCAGAACGCCCAAAATCCAATTTGACAAACAGGGTTTGAATTGTGACCGTGGCGGGAAAGGGCAACTCGTTCCTTCGACAATACTGACGACGATTCGATGTTGGAGACCGACACAGGAAGTATTTTGGAACTGTGATGAAGCTCTTGGAAGCCATGAATTGAGCTGGGAATGCCTGGAATCGAAAGCCCCAATTTGCTCAATGAAGAACATTAACCTAATTTTCCAGAATTGCAAGTTTGGGAAGCCCTCTTTCGATCCAATTTGGGATCGATTCTGTGATGATTTTGACAAAAGGAAATATCAAGCTTTGAGGGAAAAGCTTTTTGAAGAGGGGGAGCCTCATATGATCCCAATTGGCCAGCTCTACACGTTTAACTTACTTGACGAAGAAGCTATCGAAGTTGGGAAGAAGGGCAGAATGTGGCAAAGTCAAAATCCGTGTTCAGGGTACATACTTTGTAGGCATGGTTCTCTCAACTGGATTGGTGGAAATTCAAGTTTAAGGGTTTGTTTTGCAGATAAAGTTTCCATATTTCAAATGGTATGCTTTGTGAATCCAGATGATGTCATTAAGGTTGTTTTCCAAGGCCTCGAAGTTGCTACCTCAAAACTGGAAAACTGCCAGAAAATGACCAAGGCAGAAAACTGTTTTGTGAAGCCTACTTTGGAGGTTAGTTCGAGGAGTATGGATCTGATTCAAGTTCAAAGGATTCCACAACATAAAACTAGGTATGTTAATGTACAAAGGGAATAATTGGATGAAGGATTGGAGTTCGGGAAGGCCTCGAACGAAAGGCGTGAAGTTAGTACGAAAGCTGTCTTTTAACTGTTTTGTTGGCAGCTTACTTGTGCGCCAAGAAAGGAAGTTTGTGGCCGAGTTTTGTACTGTTTTTAGAGTTTGTTTTTACCTTAATTGTTTCCTAGTTACATTAGGCTTGTATTAGGTTTTATTGGCTATAAATAGCCTTCTATTTTCGTTGTAAGACAGAGTTGATTGAATAGAAAAGAAACCGTTTGGTTTTGCAAGTTTGCGAACTTGTTTTGGGTTTGGTGGATTCCAAACTTGCTGAGCTTTGTATCAATTGAATAGTCCCTTCAATCGTGGTCGAGCAACTACCCTTTTATACCATACGAGCTTTCCCCAGGTGTGGAATTGTCCGTTGGTTCCGTTTCATCCAAATTTCGTATTAAGAACGCCTTGTTCTTGATTCGAGTTCAATCAATCTTCTGATTGATTGTTTGCTGCGTGACTTAGATAAAAATACACCCCCAGGGTCGTATTAGGTACCCTGTGAACACAAACACCAAATGCAGTAACACAATATAAGTAAAGTAAATCAGCTGGAGTTTAAAGCACCTGAAGTAACGGTAAGTGCAAGGTGTTCAAGTTTCCCAAATGGCTAAGACTGGGATAAGGTTTTACTTTATGAAGAGCAAATATGCAAAAATCAGCAACAGAGCCAGTACCTTGTCCCTCAATGCCTGAACTATGTATGAATACCTATCAAATAGCTTGACCGGTTGATACTGTTAGAAGATATCAAATAAGAAACAATATTCTTGTTAACAAATTTGTTATAATAGAAATGGATAGTTGGATCAGGTAAATAGTAAACAATTTTGAAATGCAGTTAAGCTAAGTAAAGTACATAACACAACACTAAATAAACAACAAATAAGAATGACAATGTAACCTCCCTGAATGACATGATAGAAAAAGGGACCGACGAGAATCATATTTCTTAACCCCAAAAAACAAATTGGCTATATACTTATCAGATGTTTATATTAGGTTAATAACAACTACTTCATAGTGTTTGCATTTTCACGGTACTCAAGCTTAAAAAGTGATTGTGAAAGTAGGGACTCTATGGTTACAACCTATCAAATGCAATACTTCCTTTTCCTCCCTGGTTTCCCATCCACAAAAGGAGAATAACAGTATAGATTCATATTAAAACAAGTATATCAACATTAATAGTTAGAGAGATATTAAAACAAACGCACTAGTTTGTTACAAATTGAATATACTAGGAATACCAAATATGTCAAAATAAGAAATGAGGATCTAAACAAAATATTTTATGTGCATGTATACTCGAACGAGTTCGGATTGGATAGTTAAAAACCCGTATATACCCACTCATTATCCGTATTATTCGGGTTTAGATTTCAGATTGGGCGTCGTCATGCCGCCGAGATATCTACAAGGAAGAAAGTTCAACCAACCCCCAATATGATGCATTTCCATTCACATCCTATCCATAGCAAATTACAACGCCATAAATTTCGTAAACTAGGACTGAACTTCACTTTGAATCATTTACTACATGTTCAGTTTCCCTTTGTTGCACGTTGTTGTACTTCTAACGATAGTTTGACTCCCCTGTTAATGCATTCATTCTAATGCATTAGATTAAATATTTCATGTCTACTTCTTTAGAAATTACTCCTTTCATGTATCTGCCTTACTCTTAATCTCCAATCAATGGGCTTACATTTTTTTATTTTGCTTTCACGATGAATCGCAACACCGCCCCTAAGAAGCAGATGGTTCACCATTGTTGAATATCCTGATATTAAGTTTCGTGTATTTTATTATTATGTTACCGTTTATACGTGAAGTGTGGCGAGTAGGCTCTTAGCCTCTTACTAGTCAAGATAAAAAAGAAAAAGGTAAAATATATTTTTTTAAAGAAGAGCTTAATTAAAAAGCTCATTGTTTCAGAGCCATATATATAATACATAATCGATAATGGTACGCTGCTTACTAATGCAGCAAAGGAAACCAGTTTCCTTACTAGTAAGCTTCAGGAAAACACAAGAACAGCAACATATATCTTCATCAAACCATACCCAACTGCCAACTAACTTCACTTCTAACTTATTCAACGCACACCCTGATTATTGACGTCTGAACTGATAACAGGAGGTTGCTCCACCAAATTCCAATCATTGATCTTGCGGCCAACACCTCAGCTCATCTCTACACCTCTTCAACCAACTCTTTAACAAGAAAAGGCAGAAACAAAGGCAACACGTTAAGCAGAAACAAAGACAAGAAGAAAAAGAGAAAGAACGAAAATCAACTTAGAAAGAAAGTAAATTTGCAACATGCAATTACCCAGTTTCATGATTCAGAACAGGAACATAAACCACATCAGTTTTCGGCAAGAAGTGGCACACTTCGGAGGAACCCGATTGTACCCCAAGCACCTGAAATGCCACGTGATGGGCATCCCAATTTGCCGTGTCCATGTGACAAACCGCAATGGCTCTCACTCCATCTTGCTCCTCACTTATTAAGTCCATAATTAATAACTTGCTCCCATATGCCACACTGTGGCATAAGAAAAGCAGGTAAGGATATGCCAATGAGTGACACGACACCAGCCCGGGAAATGGAATCTCTCTCGGCGTACCCAAAATAGTGTAGTTCTGGGCAGACCTTTTCTGTGACCTCCTCCTCTGGCCGTGGGCCATCTTCATGCCCTGGATGGTAACATTCCTGCTCACTACTTCAGCTAGTGTGTGCTTTGCGAAGCCCAACATAGACTCGGTCGAAAGTGGCGCAGACTTTTACCTCCCCTTTCATAGGCTCCCCTTCGCAAATGGACAGCGAGGACTCCATGGCCACTGCCTGTGGAGATCCTTCTAGTATTGAAAAGAGTTTCAGAATCTTGGGCAGTTCGTGCAGTGAGAACGGAACTGAATGAGCATACTCCTTGGGAATGAATTGAGTTCGTGTTATGGGGTCCTTGGGTAACGGGAATGAAAGATACATCTCGGCTCCTGGACGTCTGAGTTCTTCCAAAGGAAAGAACATGAATTTATCTTGGGGACTGCACCTTTTTTTTTGTCCTTGATGCTGGATGCAGAATAGACATAAGCCGAACTCTTAGTCTCAACGTCTCTGGCAAACCGTTCTGTCACTGGCAATGGGTTAGAGGTTTCTATTATGATTCCTCCCGGCACAGTTCTTCCGCTTCCTTCCCAGCAAGAATAACTGAGCAGGAGAAGGAAAAGCAGCTTGATGAAAGTCGAAGATCGGGCCATTTTACGTTACTGGGTGGAGGGAGTTCGTAAGTTAGAGATAATTGGGTGGGTGGAGTGAACAAAGCACTGGAGGGAGCTCTTTATATAGGGTGATGGTGGAAAGAGAAGTGACCAGAGGGGTTTTCCAACGAGTTTGGCGGGGAAGATGGTTCATACGTAGAAAATTATATGTAACGGAAAGTAGATGAAAATTGGGTTTGGTTGATGTGGAAAGTAGGTAAGGAACAGAAAGTAGGTAAGGGAGTTTGGTTGATGTGAGAAAGAAATATGTCACGTTTATTTGGTTTAGCTCGAAGGAAATGGAACCTCAAACTAAAAGGTTTATCTTCAGTTTGGGGATAACCAACGGAAAGTAGTGTTATCAACCTTTTCATTAGATTAACTATTATGGTTTGAAAATCTTTGTTTGTATTGCTAAATTGTGGTGACAATATGAACCGGTTTGACAAATTTTGTTGCATTATTATTTATTTATTTATTTTGGTAGAAGGTTGCATTATTATTTTCATGTTACTTCTACTCCTAAAACCAAGGAAAAGCAAGGATACGGATACCCTTGCTCGTCTACCACCCTAATGTTGTACAACAGATAGATAATGTTATGCGGCGGTCTACACTAATCACTTCGTCGATAAAATGAGCATTTCCCTCACTAAATGGACGGCCCTGATAGATTCATATATAAAATTTTTTATAATGATATAAGACGCTACAAACCACAAAAGTATATTAGTTATAGTTATTCATAAAAATAAAGTGATATAAGACACTGCCAACCACAAAAAGGGCATAATTTAATCTTATTAGGTTCAGAAATCGGACTGAAATGGACCATATTTCGGGAGACAGCTTCTTTTGAACCGAACCGAACAACCGAATTTCCGATCGAATTTCCGAATTTTCAACCTATATGTAATCTGCCCAGAGCCCACTCCTAGACCCAAGTTCCCAACCCAACCGAATTTTACAATCCTCAGCCCATTCTCTAATAGCCCAATGCCCTCCCAACCCAACTCCATTCTTCCACTTACCCACCCTATCAGCCTGTTTGGATTGACAAAAAAGTAAGGAATTGGAATTCCATTTCCATTTCCACTTCCACTTCCATATATTATGTTTGGAATAATAAAAAGGTTGAGAATTGAATTTCATTGAGTTTGGGTCTAAAATTTGGGAATTACAATTCCTATAAAAAATATAGGAATTGAGAGAATGAAGATGGAATTAGTGGGACCCATCAATACTTTTTATTATTTTATTGACCCACTATCATTTTACTCTCTTTCTCTCTCATTCATATTTCATTTCCCAAAATAAAACAAATATATTACATTATTTATTATGGTTAAAAGTGCAATTCATTTTCATAGTTGTAGGAATTATACCAAACACTAGAATTGGAAATGGAATTCTATAAAAATAAAAAATGGAATTCTATTTCCATTTCCATTTCTTCCGGAATTGTATCCAAAGCGGTAATAGAAACAGACTCAATTCCTTCCCAATTTCCAATTTCCAATCTCGACATCTCTTTCTCTTCAGAGCCGCTGCCAGCTTGTAACCCTAGGCTACCATACCACCCAGCTGCTACCGAAATCGAAAAGGAAAGAAAAGCATTCGTCACCCGAGCTCCCAATCGGCAATCTCTCCTAGAGTCCAGAGACCAAGACACCGGCCACCGCGACTCGTCGTTCCCTGACGGGCGACGGCGACGGCCTGACTTGCGGGCTGCGTCAAACCACCTCCGTCTCTCTCCCACCGCACTCGCCGGCCACCTCCACTTGCCACCACATCCCACCGTCCAGTAGCCGCGTCCGCATCTCCGCATCACCCAGTAGTGAGTAGCCTGCGCCTCCGGTGCTCCATCCTAGCTGGAGGTAGCCCAGATTCATTCATTAGTTATTAGCGACATAAATAGTTGTCTCCATTTTGACTTTTAGAGTCAGACTATTTTGTTTCTAATTGCATCAAAATAATTTGTTAAAGCATAATTACCCAGCGCTTATTTATTTCATAATTCAATTGAAATTTAATATAAGATATGACTAGATAATTTTTTGTCAATTTTATTGCCATCAGCACAAACTAAACAAACATCCACCTTTCATCTCGTTGAAGCCAACCAGCCGAATTTGCTTGCAGATGGTCTCTAGATTCAGTAGGACCTGTGAGATTCTTGGGTAATAAAAACAAAAACCAACTAGCCATAGTGCATATATTGAAAAAGGTTCTAAGTGGGTAGGAATTGAATCCTATATTTTAGTGAATTACAAACAAACCTACAATTTTTTTTATGTAAACAAACCTACAAATTTGAATAAGATAATAATTTCATAAACGTCACATCTTAGAACTCCTTTCCCCTGTCCACCACATCACCATTAGCAATAGAAGCTGTCATTGTCGCTCTTACATACGAATAAAATTGACTTCCCGACCTCGAGTAACCTTGAAAAACTATATGCTCGTTGTGTAATCTTTCACTACCTCCGTTTCACCATCAATTCCTGCAAGCACATAGGGCATGATAAATTTTTTGCTTTTGGGATTATGAACAAGAAATCAAAAAATACCCAACTACGAAATCTAATCACAATCCAAAAATTAAGCAAATAATGGTGCGAAGGAATTACAAAGTAAATCTTTGTATGAGTAAATCCCTTGACCAATTCAAAGGCTGCATGTACAAAAATGGATAAATGGAAGCTTATTGTAACAACTAACAAGGATCAAGCTAGGCGAATACTAAAAAGGCAGAGGAAGGAAATAAGGATAGATGAAAGACAAGAAGAGACGACGCAAAGTGTATGGAATTATGGTTCTGGATATTGGAAAGGAAACCCGCAGGCAACCAGGTTGGCTCAGTGCTCAGAGGCCTCTTATATACTCTGACACCTTCTCAATAAAGGGGAATGAGGAAAGGTAATTACAGAGATGAGAAACTAACGGTAACAAACAAAAACCTATACACAACTAATGAGCTAATAACATGTGTCTCTGTACAGTAAAAATTGAAACGACTCCAAGCACTAACTTATACGCTGCCGTTTCTACTCAGCTCTTTTATTGCTTCTGAGGGAGACGACGTCGTGTAAGAGGCTCATCAGTGCTTGCTTCCTCTGCGGTTCGATTTCATCAGCTGCAATATTCAGGAAAAAATCCAAAAGTACCACTGTTTAAAAAAAAAATTCCAAAAATACCACTCAATCCCAAAAAATTCCAAAAATACCACCCTTTTTCAAAAACCGCCACTCCACCCAGCGGTTTGGTCGAAAACCGCTTGTCGGGGGCGCGGTTTTGGACCAAACCGCGGGCCTAGGGGGCGGTTATAAAAAAAAAAAAAATTGGACCAAAACCGCTGGGTGGGGTGGCGGTTTGGCCCAAAACCGCCACCCCAACCAGCGGTTTGGTCCAAAAATTCGGTCGAAACTTCAAACGAAGGTAACTTTGCACTCAGGTATCCGATCGTAGCGATTCTTTTTTTCATTTCGCATAACTTTTCAAGATCTACAACTTTTACTAGGATGAAATTTTCAAAACAGGAATTATTTGTGGATATACGGGACCTTGAGAATAACTTTACCTTTACTTTTCAGAAATCCATGTGCATTTTGAAATTATGATTATATTAAAAGTTGTAGATCTTGAAAAGTTATGCGGAATAAAAAAAAAAATTCATGAAATTCGGATTTTGGAGCACAAAGTTATGGCCGCCCAAAGTTTGACGAAATAAAAAAAAATGCCGTTCGGGGTGGCAAATGACGTTTTTTCGAGACGAAGACGGAACCCGACTGTTTGAGACTTTCAAGATCTCAAAAAGTGATTCGGATTCAAAAAATGGAGGCCGCAAACTTTTTGAGATCTTGCAAGCCGCAAACCGCCGGGTCTCGCCTTTCGTCAAACTTTGGGCGGCCATAACTTTGTGCTCCAAACTCCGAATGTTATGAAATTTTTTTTATTCCGCATAACTTTTCAAGATCTACAACTTTTAATATAATCATAATTTCAAAATGTACATGGATTTCTGAAAAGTAAAGGTAAAGTTATTCTCAAGGTCCCGTATATCCACAAATAGTTCCTGTTTTGAAAATTTCATCCTAGTAAAAGTTGTAGATCTTGAAAAGTTATGCGAAATGAAAAAAAAATTGCTACGATCGGGTACCCGAGTGCAAAGTTACGTTCGTTTGAAGTTTCGACCGAACTTTTGGACCAAACCGCTGGTTGGGGTGGCGGTTTTGGGCCAAACCGCCACCCCACCCAGCGGTTTTGGTCAAATTTTTTTTTTTTTTTATAACCGCCCCCTAGGCCCGCGGTTTGGTCCAAAACCGCGCCCCCGACAAGCGGTTTTCGACTAAACCGCTGGGTGGGGTGGCGGTTTTTGAATAAGGGTGGTATTTTTGGAATTTTTTGGGGTTGGGTGGTATTTTTGGAAA